CAAAGTTTGTGGTAAATTTTTATAGCAGCAGTAGAAAAATAATAAATCTGGTTTTGTATTTGAAGGAACAAGTCTTAGACAATCTTTTTTTTTTTTTTTTTTTTTTTTTTTTGATTTCTGAATGGCAGAAGATTCTGGGCTCAGAGAAAGCAAAATTATGCTATATACCAGCAAAACATAGACAAGAAAAAAACAATGAATGGAAGAAACGTAAGACCCCACCTTATAGCCAAAGTATATATTCTAGAGATAATGAAATATACCATTCTGTTGTTATGTCAGTACTTAGAGATTCCTTCAGTTGTAAGAGACTAACAATTTTACTAGAAGCTTTGATCATACCCATATAACTGTGTCATGTAAGTAGGATAAACTCAGAAGGCCGTCTTCTGTTGTAGGGAATCCACCTCATTCTTCATGTGGTTTAACTTCCATGTGAGCAAACTCTTTTCTTTACTAAGTTTCAGAGAAAACTCGCATATAAATAAGCAAATTATTTTATGTCAGAAATTACCCATATTTGCCCACTGTCTAAATCTGGTTTTTCATCCATTCACATTTCTAATAATATAGCATTGCTTGAACTCTCAAAAAGTCAGCATCATTAAGAATGACAGCATCAAAATATCTGAAAACTATGCTGTATTTATTATCTTCCATGTATAGACTCCTAGAGGGCAGGGATGCACCTTGATTTATTTTCCCCAGCATTTGGCAATGCCTGATACCTACTAGGTATTCAATGAATACGTATTGAGGAAGAAATTTTTTGATAATAATTCAGTCCTAAGTAATTTCTTGATCACCACACCATAGAATTTTCATGTTGCATTGCTTTCACAAGAGCATAGGACTGTGTTATGGACAACAGGCCATGGCCAAGAAAGCTTAAATTATAAATGCGTAGGTCCTTTTTCTAAAAATTAGATTAAAATATCCATGTGGCAGACACGATAATGCCCCTCCATGAAAGATACCTTTGTCCTAGTGCCTAGAACCTGCAAATACATTGCCTTAGATGGCAACGGGCAATTTGGGTTGCAGAGGCATTAAGGCCAAACTTAAGGTCAGTCTGTCACTTGTCAAAAGGTCACAAGAAAAGCTGCAAAAATGAATAATGTGCTTCCAGCCCCCAGGTCAGTACCATCCAGTCCTATAATCTACAAATCAACATCCCCTTAAGCAGATTATTTAGAAAGAGGTTAATTTTAAAAATTAGAAATCAGGGAAAGTTCACCATATTAAATATTTGAAGGGAGTGATTTTTTTCCTTATTTACAAAATTTACAGAAATTACAAAAGTTATAAAGACTAATGTCCTATAATTCCCCACCTATAATTTCCCTCCAAAAAGAAAAAAAAAGTGTTTCTGTAATTATCATTTTATGATTATGTTATTTTTCAAATAAATACTTCAGTTTATTCTAAAAGGCTACGAGTCTCAGTTGGTTACAGTTTTGATCTGCTCACAAAGAAACAGTTTTGATCTGCTCACAAGGAAACAGTTTTACGTCAGAACTACAAGAGGAGAACTCATCTTGTACTATTAAAGGCCTTAGTCCTTTGTCTTGGGGTTTTATCTTTTTGGTGGACCCCATGAACTTATTCCTATCTGCTGAAGGGCATGTAGTTAACTACTTATTAAAAGTGCCTGAGGAAGTGTTCATAGTTTGTGCTGCAACTTGGATCTCAAGGTCCTAAAATGTATGTGCAGGGACATCGTTTTCAAATCATTTGACAGCCTGCTTTGGAACAGTTACTCATGCTTGGCGTGGCGCTGGCCAGAGTTGCGTGGTACTGGGAGGGCTGAGCAGAGGGAAAGGAGGAAGACATGGTGGCCTATGATGCTTGGCTCTGACTCCAGTCGCAGAGTTTAAAAATAATATCCAGACAGAGAAAACCTTAAATTATTGTCTGTAAATTATTTGTTGCCCGATTGTCGCCAGTTTGGTTTTAGCAATTTGTACATTGCCAGAAGTACAACATACACACAAAGAAGACTAAAATGTAATACGAATATTTGGACATTAATAGCCCCCAAATGTGTAAGGTTAAAAGTCAGAGTCTTTGAAAACTGAGGACCTCTGGACCATGAATCTTCTACTTGCCAATTCTATTAATAATGTATTTTTCTCCCTTTTTGCCAGCTTGGCTCAAAAAATCTGAATCATTGTCTCCCGAAGAAGCAGTTCAATAATTTGACATTTCTGAATAGAGTGCATGATTTTGCTTCCATAAAGTCTGAGCCCAAAGCCACCCATCATGAGGAGAAATGATGGGGAGGAGTTAGGTGAAGAGTCCATGTCACTGGCACAGGGCTGACTTGATTCTTTCTGCTGAACCTCTAAGAGTTGAGTTTTCAGATTTTTTGAAACACAGTGAAAAAGAGGGAGCCTCTGGAATTAAGGCTCAGAGCCACAGAGTGAGTCTGTGAACACACACAGCTAGAGCTGAGGTAGAGCGAGCTAAACCCACAGGCAGGAACAACAGGAGGCCAGGACATCTGGGTTGCAGGCCAGTCCTGTCTCCAGATGCCAACAGTCAGGCTCTTGGGCTGGGGTAAGTCCTGGTAAAAAGTAGACAGGGAGCAACCATGGAGACCCAGGGGCTGTGGATGCCTAGTGGCAGCGTGGCCTCTAACTGACCCTGGTACAAAGTTAACCATCAACACCCGATCCACATATGTCTCCATATGGTCGTTGAAAAGCGACCCAGACCTCATCAAAGTTAGGTTTGCATTTGAGAGGTAAATCATGATTTGTCAGTAACATATTTTAATTAAATTAACAAAATAACTCTTCAGGGGAAATGTGAGACTATCAATAGTTTAATCTCCTGGCACAGCAGGAAAATATCTACCCCTCCTAATTTCTGAACATTCAGGAGTCCTGCTATACCATTTTAAAAGCTGATTTTGAGACACAGCCCAGGATATTTACATAATACATTAAATTTTTTCACATCAAGATACTTATGGAAGTATTTCTTGAAATGATTTAAAAGTAGTCAAGTTTCTAAGCCAATCAGAACACTACTTTATACCTGGAAGAAGATTAAACATAATAATCAAATGTTAATCAGCGATGCCCCAAAGGAACAATTGTCTACTATTTTATAGACTTAAATTTTTCTCATCTGTTTTCTTTCACTGTGTTAATCTACATTCCTAATTTCTGAAAAAGCAACCAGCACAGTTTTAGACCACATTGCTATCCAATTCAAATTGTTCTTCAGATGATTTGATTAAAACTACAAAGAGCTGCTTTCAACAAAAGCTTCTTACAGTGAGCACAAACATTAGCGAGCCTGGCATGCAGCACTTAACCTGCACTCACAGCTTTAGAGAGAAATACATTTGGAAAGGGAATTAATCACAAACTAAAGCCCACCCCTGGCCTCCTTAGACAATCCATCAAGGACGGTTAGATGTGCCAAGGCTTCTCTACTGTCCACACTTAGTTATAGGCTCCAACTCCTGAAGTCTCTAAGACACATTTATTTAAGAATGATGTAAGAAGAAAAACAGTGACATTCAACTAATACTAAAATCATCATAACAAGATAATCCAAAAAACAGAAGCTCATTCATAAATCATGGTCATTATTGTCTTATCTAATGGTTTAAGTTAAAACTAAGCATATCGTGGTGTGCAAAAGGGTTGGACTTTAGTGCTTAAAAAATGATTTGGTAATTCTTGGATATTTGCAATCACTTCGTTTTTTATAGTTCTCTCAAACGTGGGATGAGTTTTATGCCTAAAACTTTAAAATTCTCAAATCCACGCAGGCGACACACTACAAATAGTTATTTGCTTTGCTAGTAACACAGGCTTTCTGTGGGATGCAAAGATGAGGGTGCATCCGCTCTCAAGAATGATTTTATTTTTAAAAGTTGCAGGATCACAGATTTTTGTTTCCTCCCCTACCCTTCAGAAGTACCTGATTGTGTGTTCTGCACAGCTATGCACAGCTATGTGCCACGTTTGTCACCACTGTGGATAACTCGTCGGGCAGCCGAGAAAATGTTCACTAGAACATGAAATTTAAGCCTCCAATCTAGATAATTTTAGACACTTTGATTTCATTATGGAAATTCCTAGACTACTAGTGGGGTAAAACAAATGCTAAGGCCCTATTGAATTTCAACAAGCTGAACGAGCAGAAAATAAAGATAAAATGCCTTTCTATTTAAGAACACGATGATGTTTTCATTGTTATAGCATTTGGCATGCCTAATGTACACAGTCCTTGACATTCATATAATAACAAAAGAAAGTTGTTTGGGATTTTTCTTTTATTTCCTAGTGTCCGCTTTCTTCTCTAGTATTTCTCCCACATCTACCCCAGCCCCGGCCTCTCACTGTCTTCCCACTTTTCGTCCTCTATACAGAGAAGGCGTGCATGTAAAAATACCTCGTGCGAGGTAGACAGGCCAAGGCTGCCTGTTACCTAGCTCTGATGAACAGACCACCATCGTAGCAACAACCGATGCAGATGCCTCCGGGTGAAACAAAGGTTTACATATTACACAAGCAATTTAACTGTTTTCTAAACATATTGCCAAGACAGTGGGAGTTGGCAGCCCACACTGTGTTTTAGGTTTTGAGGACTTGGATTAGAAGTGGCTGTTGATTATAACCTTTTTATTTGTCTTCCATGAACTACAAGCAACCTAGTAACCCAGGAAAGAATTCTTCACAGCACTTAACTTGTCTTGCTTGCTTCCCAAGATTACATACACAAATCACTTGACAAAAGTGGTATAAGACTCTTGTGCCTAGATAACCACATAAGACAATTGTCTTGTTCTAACCCTTAAAGAGTTCCACAGAGTAAAATGTTTTATAATCCTTTTCTGTGCAGTAGGCAAAGAAGAAAAGAAGAGAGGTTGGGCAAAGATTATCTAGAAGAAAGAAAGAGACTCTTTCGGGGTTCCAGTTGAAACACAATAAAGAACATAATTAACTTCTCAATTCTTTGTGTTTTTCATTTGACTGCAGGGGGGAGATGAAAGAGGACTGCTAAGCCTTGCATTCCATCCCAATTACAAGAAAAATGGAAAGCTGTATGTGTCTTATACCACCAACCAAGAGCGGTGGGCTATTGGGCCTCATGACCACATTCTCAGGGTTGTGGAATACACAGTATCCAGGTATCACTAAAATGCATCAAAGCATATACATTTTGCAATCTTATTCTTCCTTTATCTCATCGTAAGGTTTTGATTTAGAAATTACAGATAAGTAGCCCTATAGTGGCAGTAATTAAAATAAAATGTTTACCTTACTTAAAACTCAGTGTGGATATTTTGGGGGAGTTTGGGAGTTTTAGGACTTTTCAATTACCTTTCAATTTAAACACTTCTTATAAAATTTAGAAATTAATGTAATTTTTCAGTGACTTCTATTAGCTCTTTTCAAGTGTGTTTTCTTTTATGTGCCAAATGCTTGATTCCTTATTTGTGTACTGTTGACTTTCTAGTGGATTCACCTTACATCTTTAGTAATCATGGTATTTTTTCCTCTCCATGATGCAGGAAAAATCCTCATCAAGTTGATCTGAGAACAGCCAGAGTGTTTCTGGAGGTCGCAGAGCTCCACAGAAAGCATCTGGGGGGACAGTTGTTCTTTGGTCCTGATGGCTTTTTGTACATCATTCTCGGGGATGGGATGATCACACTGGATGATATGGAAGAAATGGATGGGTTAAGGTAAACACATGCCAGCAATACCTCTGGGTGCTTAAATGTTTTTGCCAGGAGAAAGTGTCTGAACCAGTGAGTTAGGAACCATCTCTGAAGTACATTGCTCTGCATATATATAGTTAACTTTTGTTGTCACCGTCTACATTTGTAAAATGCAAAAGAATTTAATACTTTGCCCCTGTAATATTTCCTTTTGTCATAAAATGAGTCCTGTGCTGCAGAGGCTGCCCCTACGGCACCTGGCTTTGGAGAGCAGACAGCCCTGCATATATGTGCTGCTTCCCTACACTCTGCATCTTGGGAGATGGATTGGCAGAAATGAAAGGGGACAGATGCAAAAGAGCAGTGTTGCAGGGATGCTGTAGCTGTTGGCCACCTTCAAGCTGTGTCTTAGTACAGAGCCTTATGTGGAACCAGAATGCCCTGGTTTCGTTTCTGACCCTAGTGTATCTGGAATGTGATTAATTTTGTCTCAAACAAGGGGATGCTTCTTTTATGCATGCGGCAGCCTTACCACATTTAGTCCAGGTGAAACACATCCTCAGCAGGAGACACTTACACCATCTCCGTTTTCTCAGTGATTTCACAGGCTCAGTGCTGCGGCTGGACGTGGACACAGACATGTGCGTTGTTCCTTACTCCATCCCACAAAGCAATCCCCACTTCAACAGCACCAACCAGCCTCCAGAAGTGTTTGCCTACGGGCTCCATGACCCAGGCAGGTGAGACTGCAAGGCTCTTCTCTTGCCTACATGAAAAGGCCTGGCTTTGGGGAGTAGGCCAGGGAAGAAGGTAGCAAGTGACAGAGCAGCCAAGCATGGGTCTCTGAAATCATTATAGGGCAAGTGTATAGTGCTCTTCCTTCTGTTAAGGTTTGAAGCAGATTGAGAAAACAGATTAGACAAAGAAAAAATTCATAAAGCAAAACTGACTTCAGAATTTGGAAGGATTACTATTAGACTTTGTGGGACTAGTATAATGATTTAAGACTTTAATAATTTGGAGATATAATAAAGCTTTAAATTGTTTAAATCCTTTTAAATTTTATTTTCCATGTTGTCTCAATCTGTCTTACGCTACTATAACAGAATACCACTGACTAGGTAATTTATACACATTAGAAGTTTATTTGATTCGGGTTCTGAAGGCTGTCCAAAGGTATGATGCTGGCAATGTGTAAGGGCCTCCTTGCTCTGTGCATCCCATGGGGAAGAGAGAAGTGGCAAAATTACCCCTTTACCAGGAACTCACTCCTAGGATAACTGAACCACTCCTGCAGTAATAGCATTAATCCATTCCTAGGGGTAGAGTTCTCATGACCCACTCACCTCTGAAGGTCCCACCCCTCAACACTGCTGCTTGCTGGGGATTAAATTTCCAACACATGAACTTTGCAGCACACATTCAAATCCTAGCACTTGCAAATATAAGGATGTTGTAAGGATCAAATAAAAATCTACAGGGAAAGCACAACAGAGGTATCTGACACTTGGTAGTTTTTTTTTATCAGAGGCTCATTCTACATAGGGTGGTGGTGGGGTTAATTTGCAGGTAGATGAGCTGAATATCAACTTTTTTTTACTTGAAAGATAATTACACATATGAAAGGAATTCATATTACCTGTTTGGTACTGTATACCATAATGAGCCACAAAAAAAAAAAAAAAAAAGGAAAACTAAGAATTATGCAGAGCAAGAGATTTTAAGCACACTTTAAAAATAGTATGAAGTACAATGTAGAAATTCTATAATTAAAGTTCCACCCAATCTTTGGTCTATTATTTATACTAAGGGGCATCTGGCCACATTCATTCATTTACTAGCTAAGTTATTATTGCTATTTAATGTTTATTGAGTGTTCACTATGTGCAAGGTGAATATTTCTCTAACTTTTTATTTTTATAATCCCTCATGCCCATCATCTCCCCTCCATCAAAGCCCAAGTCTACAGTTCATTTCCTTTTTGGCATCTCAGCAGATCTTAAAATCTGTTCGACAGGGAATACTTGAGGTGGGTTCCGGATGTGGAGGAAACTGTCACATTCCATTCCTATAGCTCAGAACTCACAGATACCACCACCAAGCAGCTCTTTGAAGTAGAGCAGCCTGAGTAACCACAGTCCCAGAGGAGCTTTCTTGCAACCTGCCTGGGGGTTCTGAGCTTTGGTGTAAAAATATGGGACGAGGTGCTTTATAGCCCATACATGTGGCAAGATGCCTGCATCCCAGAGTCCTGCGTCCTTCAGCAGCAGAAGGCCAAAGGGAGAGTCAATGTTTATATTCTTTCTCCCTTCAACAGGATTTTGAGCAGAAAGAAAAAGAAAGAAAGAAAGAGAAAGATTTTTAAAAGAAACAAATAATATATAGCAAAAATGAAGCTGTTTGTAAGCAGCTTTCTACAGAGTGCTGAATAGCTTTCCCTGTGCAGTGTCCCCTTTAAACTTTTCAGCAGTACTCAGAGTGACATCTATTCCCTATCCACACCCCACACTCCTTTTTAAATATACTGTTTTTAGAGCTGTTGTTGTACAGCAAAATTCAACAGAAGGTACAAATTCTTCCAGGGTACCCCCTAACCCTGCACAAGTATTATTATCATCCCCCATAGAATGGCACATTTACTACAATTGAACAAATACTGCATAGTATAATCAGACTCCATGGTTTACATTGTCGTATTCTAAAGCTTTGGGCAAGTGGGCAATGACACATACCCACCATCACACGGTCGTCCTGATTAGTTTCACTAGCCTCTTGTTTTATACAACATCTGAAGGTTAGAAGGGTCAAATAGTCAGCAGACCTGGTGTTCAGCTAGAGCTAAGGCTCATGGCCCCTAGCAATTCTACCTCTGGGGGAGCTAGCCAGCCTTTTCATCCAGATTTGCTACTTCTGGTTGGAGACAGGTCAAGCCTCTTTTTCCCACAGTTTTTCCATCTTCAAAAGAAAAATAATACAGGAAAATTTTCTTCACCCCTGTGAATTTAGTTCCACCTTAAGTCACAATATATCTTTGTCCTGACCCCTGCCAGGCATTGTATTCTGTGAGTCACTGAGTTACAGAGGACAATAAGGGGACTGTTGCCACCAAGGCAAATCACCCATCCTTAGCAAGCCAGGGGCAGCTTCCCTACAAATGGGATCATTTGGAGACAACAGTTGTGTTGTTTTGCTTTTTAAAAATTCATACATGACTCTCGTATCTTACAACCTAGCACCCTCTCTCAAAATTTTAGTTTTTTAAGTATTTAAAAGTCCCAATGATTTGGTTTCATTTGCAATTAATGAATTTTGTTGGCTTAAAATAACGATTCCCAGAGGACTGATTCTGCCCCCACTTTGGGATGGGGTAGAGTGAGCTGCAGCCATCTGATTGTAGAGGCCAGGGATGCTACCGAACATCCTGTAATTTGCAGGACAGCCTCTCCAAATAAAGGTGAGCTGGCCCAAAATGTCAACAGTGATGAGATTTAACCTAAGGACAATGGAGGCCTATTTTCCACATTTTTGAGAACTTCAAAAATTATATTATTCAACTTTAAAACCTTACTGACAAACATTCAGGCGATCCCTGCCCTGGTGAAACCAGGGATCCTGGTTTAAATCACAGATATTCTGGCACTCCCAGATGAATGCTGAAGAGTATAAAAACAGCTGATTTGAAAGGCATCTTGTCCAGAGACCATCTACATTTTAATTTTATTCCCTGAATTGGAACATACATTTTCCTTTGTTAGACCATCCTGAGCTTTAAAATGTAGTGATTCACCTAAGAAATATAGGACTAATACTAACTATTGTATTATATTCTATTATATTACATTATATTATAGATGTGAGTTGAAGATGACATTGATTCTTACTATACTTTATCATGGATTTTTGTTTGTCTTTGAGAAAAGGTCTTGCTCTGTAGCCAAGGCTGACCTTGAACTTGTTTTTGATTCTTTTGCTTCAGTTTCCCCAATCCCAGACTACAAGTGTGCACACCAGGCCCAGCTTCAAGTATTATATAAGAAATATTCCTTAACAAGAGAAATATTCCTTAACAAATGTTTTGAGACAGTGTGTACCTTCCTGATGACGGAGTTACCAAAAGAAACTAAAAAATACACTCCAGAAGTAATCAAGCTTCAACAAACAAACAAAAATATCAAGATAATTTTTTCAGTTGTTGCTAGTAAATCAAAACTGAATTGCTCATAGGATCTTCTGCTAGCCCACAAAAGATTTTGTCCTAGGTCGGGAATCCCCACACTGTGAAAGCTATACCATAGGAATTAATGGGTATCCACCTCTTCTGTTATGCAGATGCGCTGTGGATCGACATCCCACTGATATAAACATCAATTTAACAATACTTTGTTCAGATTCCAATGGAAAAAACAGATCAGCCAGAATCTTACAGATAATAAAGGGAAAAGATTATGGTAAGTCAAGCATAATTTGTTGATTTTGCTTTAGTTTGAGTTTGGCTTTACTTATTTATTGAAGGTAAAAAGATTTTTGCAAAATAAGCATTTGAGAAAACTTAAAAACACTGGCCTAACAGTGACCAGAGAATAAGGTACTCACTTTTTAAAAGTTAGGGGCTCACAGAGGCCCTCAGGAGTCCATGTGGATGAGTATATCTCTCATGGATTACATGGTTCTCAGTAGGTCCAAATAATTTAGTTGCTTAAAATGTTATCAGCTTGTATGACTCTCATCTAAGAATCAAGATGAATAACTTCTATTTACTTAACTTAATAAGGCAGAATTTGTAAATAAAAATAAAGAAGTGTGAAGGGTGCAGAATTTCTCAAAACTCCATATGCTAGTCTCAGCAATTAGGAAAAGTATGTTTTATATAAGAATGTGATTTTTTAAGTGTTTATTTTAGACAAAGTAAATATCGATTTGTGAAAACAAGGCATAGGATATTTAAACATTGTTTTTGATAACATGATTATTAGACTACATAGAGAGAACACATAAAATATAAAACTGGATAATAAATTGCAAGAACATTTTTAGTATTTTAGTATGTATTTCTTTTGAAGGAAGTAATATATTAAATATTATTAGGATTCAAGGAACATAGTAGATTAAGATTATTAAATTGATTGCTTCTTCTGTTTACTCATTCAATACAGATATTTATTTAGCACCAGGAATGAAACAGCTGTGTTAGTTCATGTGGTATTCAGTTATTTTTAAATTTTTTCAGGTGTATGTGTGCCTGTATGTGTCTTATAAAAGCCAAACCAAAGTATAATGTGGTTTATAAAAAAAATCAAATGAGGCACTAGTTCTGTGGACTTTTGGCTGTGGGTGTAGATTAAACTAAATTGTATAATCACATTAGCTGAGGTTCAACCAAAGTGAGTTGCAGTATTAACAGCCCTGCATTTATGTACACCCACAGTGCTTGCTAGGTACCAACCCCTATAGAAAAGGCTCATAAGTGTTTCTGATTTCATTTGTAGAAGAAGTCTATGTGGTAAGCACTATCACTGGCCACATTGTATAGATGAAGAAACCGAGGCAGAGAAAATTTAATTACAGCACAACATAATCTGGTAAAAGATGGATGTGAGCTCCTTGATGCAAAAGTTCACAACCTTAATCATTCAGTTATGCTGCCATGTGGCGTGCTGAATATTTAAAACTTCCCTAATCTTTTCTACTTTTTACTATGTATCCTGTTTACCATAATCACATGGGAGGAGCAGAGGGCTTTAAAATTACTGCCTTTCCACAAACGTTTTTGATAAAATGCTGCCTGCTGATGGTGAGTCATTTGACATTAAATACTGAGAAGTGATTTTCAGATTAATTGGTAACTGGCAGTAGAGCTTTTTCCATTGCAAGTATGTAATAGCCTGCATGGAAACATTGGAAATGGGACTGTACACTGTAATTCAGAAGGAGTTATTGCAGTAGACTTTGTTAACCGTGCAACTCTATAACCAAAACTATTAAAAACCATTTTAAGTGCAGATATTACTTGAGTAAGTGATCTTCTTTAAATTCACAATAAATGTAATTTTAAAGGCCTTTTATGTACTATACTTTTACTTTCATTAAAGTGTGAACTTTAAAACATTTTATGTAATTTAATAGATGTGTGATCCAGTTTACTAATACAATAAGCAAAAGCATTTCTAAACTGAAGATTATTTTTAAAAGTATTTTAATCTAAACTTACCACGATACCCAAAATACCTAGATTCTAATTCTACTGAAAACTTGGTGTATCATGGCAGTTATAAAAATAGCAAGTGTTTGAAGCCCATTTTTCATTTCAGTAAGCTGTACTCAGAGATCTTTTAAATTTTGATAGTATTTAAACAAAGACTAATTTTTTTCACTAAATATCTATAGCAAGGATCCATCTCTGGCATCACAAAACATACTTCAGAGTGCAATTGCCTTAATATTTGTTCATTGGGCTACATTATTTTTACTTCACAAAAATGTGTTTCATTTGATCTAATGCACTGTTTCTTTTCAGAAAGTGAGCCATCGCTTTTAGAGTTCAAGCCATTCAGTAACGGTCCTTTAGTTGGTGGATTTGTTTACCGAGGCTGCCAATCTGAAAGACTGTATGGAAGCTATGTGTTTGGAGACCGCAATGGGTATGCGTCCCAAAATCCTGTTTCCATATACCAGCTATCACATCCAGAGATAAACTGGCACACAGCCACAAAACATTCAAAAATGACTGTCTCTCATTGGGCCTCAGACCTAGAATACGCATTAACATATAATTTCCTTTTGTTATAGTATATGTGGAAAGTTCAATGAAGAATTTCCAAAGCAATGCTTTTCAAAAGACTTGATCAAGTTCTTAAAGTAATTTTTAAAAACAGTAAAGACCTTAGGTGGACATTTCTTATTACATAGTCTCTTCTCTTCATCCTAAGTGAGAATTTACCATGACAATGAATAATTTGAAACATTATTTTGAATGAGTTGTAAAATATTTTTAAAACTAATTGGGGAGACTATATATATATATATATATATATATATATTTTTTTTTTTTTTTTTTACCAGACTTTCAAGATTGAGCAATAGGATAAAATCTGTATCTACAGATAGGAATACTACAAAATCAAATTTTAACCTACTTTTTTTATGATTCTCTGGGTGAAAGATACTCAGTACATGCTCCCCATATGAGGATTTCACAGCAATCAGACATATGATAGGCTATATTATTTTTCCTTTAAGAAGTTAGATGGCATGGTTATTTCATCTCAAACATTTTATTGTGAACTTTAAGCAAACCTATATTTTTATTGTAGGTTTATAGTATGTTTTCGTTGCAGGAATTTCTTAACTCTTCAGCAAAGTCCAGTGACCAAGCAATGGCAAGAAAAACCACTGTGCCTTGGCACCAGTGGTTCCTGTAGAGGCTACTTTTCAGGTCACATCTTGGGATTTGGCGAAGATGAATTAGGTACGGTATGAATCACTTCTGTTAAGTTCTGTTCTCACTTCCTTGCTCAAGAAGGCATATTCTATAGAATAACAGCATCATCTTCCATTTGCTGATAGAATCCAATAGTGATGGCCAATAGTGATTAAAGATGGCCCAGTTATATGTTCTCTTCCAGGAATATTCTCTTGAGAGTCTTTGTATCTTAATTCCATTCTAAAAATAATGAAAGTAGTAAAACAGAAAAATAGACAAGAGCAAAAAAAAATTTGAGACCCTCCAGAAAAAAGTTTGTAAATGTCTACTCATATTTCTGATTATCTATTAAGGCACTGTGTTAGCCCTTTATCTGAGAACCTTCCCACTTACCTATGTATCTTGGAATAGAAAACAATTATCAAAATCTAAAACTTATTCTCTCTCTGTGTGTCTCTCTTTGTCTCTCTCTCCCTCTCTCTCCACTTTTGGAGGATGACATTGGCACAAGATAATCTGAGCTACAAATTTTTCCAATAAAATAGGAATTATTCACAACCCATAGGTAACATATGTTTTGGCTTGTTTATCAAAATGTACTCACTTCACAGAACAAATTGAAATTGATATGTGATCAACCAAACAGTGAAGTTTTTTTACTCTATATTTTAAATTACAATGATTAAAGTAGATTTTTATATCTCCCTCTAAAGAACAATATTCAAACTATGGCTAAAATATTCCTTTAGCTCAGAAATGAATAAAAAAGGCATAGAAAGAGAATAGTAATGCTTCCTATCTAAATTAGAATATTTTCTGTAAAAGTCCATATTGATTTTTTTACATTAAATGAAAAACACATCAGAAATAATTCTATGCATTCACTTAGATTAATAAAGGCCTCAGACAAGTCTCTTGAAATGTATAATACATATTTCAGAGCCATAGTAATACAGAGATGAAAACAAGTCCATCTAATCTCATTCGAGCAGTGAAAACATTTTACAATTAGTTTTTCCTTCATATTCTTCTATCCCATCCAAAAGAATCAGAAACATAACCTATGAAGTAATTTAAATTTCATTTTCAAACTCTGATTTTAAGAATTACTAAATTGTAGCAGTTAGAAGTGAATGGGCGGATATTGTGATTGAACCATTTTTGTTTTTCCAGACTTTACAACAAAGACTACTCATCTACAATCTTATTAGCATCACTATCATAAAAAATACCTCTGGGGCTGGGGAGTTAGCTCAGTGGCATAAGCGCCTGCCTTGCAAGCAGGCAGTCGTGAGTTTGATCCCTGGTACCGATAAAAACGAAAAAGACAAAAAAAAAAAAAAAAATACCCCTAATGTCTGTGTACCTGTTGTTTTGTGAAAGATCCAAAGATCCAAAAAATAAAGCACATACAATCTTTAACTTTCCAAATGCTACCATCTTATATATAACCTGTAACAAAAATAAATACTCTTTACATGAATTGTATTTTAATGTGAAACTCTCTAACGTCATAAAAGGAATTATGTTTTTGCACCTTTGAGTCAAAAAAATCAGTGAGATGTGTGTCACTTTTTTAATCTTAAAAATCAAGATGCCTTTGTTGTAAAGATTAAATGAGGTAAGCATATAAACTATTGGCAAAACAAAGATTCTTTTGCTTTTAAACATCATTTTTATTTTTTCTATTGAGTCTGTATTTTTAGAATGAAACTTGTGATATCCCTTTCAGAAATACAAAAATATTTAAGGGTGTTTGATACATAATTAAAAATAGAATACAGAAAAACAGGTTAAGGCAAAGGCTGTTTCATAAGTAGGAATCAATTGTAAAATTTAAAACCTTATTAACATGTAATTATAAGTAGTTTTTAATTTCCTATTCATGTAATCTATTCCATATGCTGACCTATATGGAAAAAATGATAATACACAAGGGTGGTTTTTTCATAAATGAAAGTAGCTTGGTACCAGGAGCTATAGCTTTACAGCTGAGATTATCTGTCTCTGTTTCTCCCTCCCTCTCACATTTATTTTGATACATCCTAACATATTTTCAAGAGCAAAATATTAAAATGAGCATGCCAATTCCATCTGACCTCAAATTATTAATTAGCAGTAACAACTTGGGTTAACTAAGATTTTGAGTCTTGGGCAGAAATAAATTGAGATAAAAATATTCATTCAACACTGCATTTGCAGAATATAAATGCTTACTGAGTTCCTTATTCTGTGATAAGCTCTGTACTAGGTGTTGGGGACACAGGGGCACATCAAGAGACAAAAAATCTAAACTCCTGTCATGAAATTTATATTATAAAGAAGAAAGACACTAATACATTTTAAAAACAAATATGGATTGTGTGTCAATTGGTAACCAAAGCTTTGCAGAAAATCTAGTAGTGAAGAGGGACTTGGCGGGGGGGGGGGTTGGAAAACATGCAGTCTTATTTTTTATTTATTTTTTTCATCGTGCTGAGGGCTTGAACCTAGGACCTCACACAGGCTGGGCAGCAGTTCTACCACTGAATCCCCAGTCTAGCGGGTGAAATTGTAAATAGTACAGTCATGAAAACTACGACTTAAGCTCAATCTTAAAGGAAGGGGGAAAGTGGACTTTGAAAAGACCCACAGGCGCACAGAAGCCTAAGACAGAACCCAGAGATAGAATCAGCCTCATGTATTCAGAGACACAGAGCCAAGGAGGCCAGATTAGGGTGAACAAGGGGCCAAACTGTTGTAGATGAGGTCAAAAGAGCAGCAGGCGACTAAATCTGCCACTGTTGGGACTTGGTTTTGCTCTGAGAGAGATGAGAAGCCACGGGAAGGGGTTAGAACAAAGGAAGTTCACCTAACTTACATATCTAACCTCCTCTGAAAGTAGGACTGGAGGGTAAATGTTGAGAATAAACCCAGAACGAGGCAGAAATAGGGTGCTACGGTATACAGCTGTTGCCGTGACCCAGGTGAGTGATATTACTTGCTCCTGTGGGAACACAGTGGGCTATGGAAAGAAGTGACAGAAAATGGGTGCCTTCCAGATGTGTGGTGGGGACACACCTGTGACATGCTGCCATAACCTTTGGGCAAGTGATCTTCCTGAAGAGGGGATAGAGATAGGAATTGACAGAGGAGAAGACAAATAATAATTGCTAGGCAACAGTGTCATGCCGTGAATTACCATACCATTATTTCTCTCAACAGGTGAAGTTTACATTTTATCAAGCAGTAAAAGTATGACCCAGACTCACAACGGAAAGCTCTACAAAATTGTGGATCCAAAAAGGTGAGTTTTCTTTTTAGTCCCTTTGAATCAGGTAATACTCTCTTCACGTTATTTTAGTGCATTCAAATCAGTAACAGAAGAGATGCAGTTGTCAATCAACCACGATGAACACTTCCATCCTTCCCACATGCAACCGGCTGCCCTAAGAAGACCTTCTCCTCCAGTGTGTGAGGGCCACACTTGGCCTCCAGGACTCTAAAAGCTCAGTCAAGTTGTTCTTGTCATCCCAGAGCATGCTGTATTTGTGGAATCAAAATTCTCGGGTGGAAGCCAGGGGAGGAGCCCGATGTGTGAGGCAGTGGCTTCAACTCTGGTGTTGGAAGCAATGAACCCCTTATTTTTGAGAGCATGAAAACATGTTGGCAGACATTACAGCTGCTTAGTATGATTTTTGTTAGGTAATCAGGATGTTATTTTGGCAGTGCAACATCTGAGCCTCATTTCAAAACTATCCAAAATCTCACAGCCCTCATGAAGACTAGTATGACCAAAAAATGAAAACAAGTGTTTAGTGCTTTGCCTCAGCACAGGGGAGATATGAGTGTTTTGGTCCTTTGAGGGATATAAGTATCCTGCCCCAGCTCCTTCCATCCTCTGCGTTGCACACATACAACTTTCCAGCGCCTCGAATCCTAATTAAACAGCTGTTAATTCCATGGGTGAGATCTGTCCTATCCAGAGCCGCTGTAGTTACCTGCTATCAGATAGACATTTGTCATAACAGACAAGTATTACAAAATCTAAGCATCCTCACGGATAGGACCAGGCCATGCTGAGTGTTCAGCCATACCATGCTGTAATTTTAAATTCCTTCCACATTCATTAAGTCTAGTTAAGAGAATTAATTAATGATCTGAAAAGTTAACCAAAGGCTCCACTTGAAAGCCATTAAACTGTTAATTAACCATGTTTTCCTGAAAAAGCCAGGAACAAAATGAGGACTCTTGTCCTTCCATATATCACAAAACGTTTTCTTTCCAGAAAGAACTACAGGTTGACACTGGCTACCACGGAACAAAAAGAAAAATCGACTTTAAATGGCTCACTGGCAACACTAATGTCAGAGGTTGAACACTGATAGGCTCTCTTCCCTGTTTTATAGTACACATTTTCTCTGATGCTAAGTACCCGTCCATACAATGTCATAGAGTACAGGGATTCTCCTTCCCCTCTTGAGTGTAGAATCAGTGTTCTTTTTGAGAAAAAGAGTAAATACAAAAAGCTATCAGATGATGATTGTTGAAGTTGGCCACTTTAAGAATAAGTCAAACTACTGTAAATTTATAAAAATGACAGCCTTCGAATGATTCATAATGAGGTATGGGGATTTCACTTAGATCTAATGCAGTTACAAAATAGTCACCTATTACATTGTCTAAGTTGATAACCTTTTGTAAGCTTCTTGGTAATATAATGAATTCTCTGTCTCTGTCTCTCTCTGTCTCTCTCTGTCTCTCTGTCTCTCTCTGTCTCTCTCTCTCTCTCTCTCTCTCTCTCTCTCTCTCTCTCTCTCTCTCTCTCTCTCTCTCTGTCACACACACACACACCCCAGAACTTTATCTCATCATCTGGATTGTTAGCAAATTTTACACCTTCAGCCCATTAATAGTATCTAATTACCAGGGTTTCCATAAGGGACCTTGACTTTGTGATCTTAGGGCCGCCTCTAGTAGGGTGGTCTCAGAGTGACATACCTGAAGGCCTGGCTTCTCATTACAAAGCCTGTTTCTGGTGAGTCATGTCATGTGTGGGGCCAGGGTTAAGACTGGTGTTTGCTTTTCAAAAGGTGGGGGAAGTGACAGAATCCCAGTGACACGGTCCTGTACACAGGCATAGGCAGAACTTTCAGAATTAAACTGTTTGCATAAACACTTGTTGGGAGCCTCGTGCTGTTATGATGTGAACACCAGCATTTATTATTATAGTCTTTTTTGCTAGATGAGTTGAAGTTCTGTCTAAGCAGACACTTAAGTATGTGTACAAGATTATTTTGGAAACAGGAGTTAATTACTAGCGTAGCAATGTTCAGTATATCTGCACCAGAGAAAACTATTTTTCCTAAACTTCTGGGCAGAATTTGAAGAAAGAATCTCATCAACTCTCTCTCTCTCTCTCTCTCTCTCTCTCTCTCTCTTTTACATATTAAAGGCTTTTCTCAAACACATGCACATACATTTACACAGAAGGAATTTAGAAATCACATGTAATATCTGAGTTAGCAAAAGCAGATGTGTTTCCAATATTACCATTTCAATCTGTAAAGATAATTTAGTCTAAAGCTATAAATTACATAATCATTTACATAAGCTGTAACTCATTTACACTTGGGCAATTTCCTCAGAAGACGGTGATGAAGTAACATGATATAAAAAAATCAAATATATAACTAAAAAATGAAAATTCACAAACAGAAGAATACAGTCAGGTTTCCTTCAAGCTTACCTAGAACTCAGAAGTTACTTCAGGAAAAGCAAAAACTTCCATAGAGAAGCAGAGAAGAAATTGTGCCTCTGTATCAGAAATGGGACACAAATCAGAAATATCTTCAGGGGTAAACTGGTGTTTCATGGCAGAGTGGGGTTAGAATCAAGGTAGTACCACTCACGCTACTGGTCCAGCCAAATCACAGGATTCCCAAAAAGTCTCCAGTACTGGATTCAGCTTTTCCTAGCCTGGTTCTTTCCTCCATCTGCTAAGAGTTCCCAAAAAAGGATTTGGATATACTGAGCACAAGATTGGGGCAATAATCCCCATTTCTCTTATAATAGTGCCCTCTGAAACTTGTCAGATAAGAGCAAGTCTCTTCAGACAGTCAGTTGGTCTAGTCTCTGACCCTCCTTCAGTATAGAACATTACACAAATTATCTCCCCATCCTGTGTCCCTTTGCCTGTTGAAAAAGTACGGATGATCCATGTTTCTCTGCCTCGTTTCTATGTATGACACAGGAGGGAGGTGAATAACATCCTTAAAAATCTAGTGAATTCTTTAGTGTTATTAGTACTCATTCTTGCATCCTAAAATTATTTTCGGGTAATCTCAATTTTTCAGGTTCTCTTAGTACCAAAATTAGGATAAAGATATCCATGCAGCTCTAAAAAGCTTTAAATGCCTAATTTTTAAATATTTGCATTTTGCCTACAATGCTTGCTCTGTACTAAATCTTTTCAAAATTAATCAAATGCTCCTAGGTGGTAGAAATTAAAGATTTCTCTCAAGCTTTATAGCTATAGAATACAAATTTTTCGATAAAGACAGAACATTCTTTAAGTTTATTTTAGATGAACTTAGACCAAATGATTTTTTTATCTTTATTTTGAGATATTTCCAGGGTTTATTTCTCCAAGAATTTATAAAACAAATGTATTAAGAACAATCATTTGATTTACTTACTGTGCACCCACTCTAGCTATATTTTAGAATACTGCTTATTTATTACCTCAACCTAGTCGCAGAGACCATTCCCTTAGGATGAACAATGCAAATTCCAGACAGGAGAGGTCATTTCACAAAAATGCCGTGTGTCCCCAGTCCTCTGTGACCATATCTAAAACTGCCTCTCATGCTTCCTGCCCTTTCCTTCTCTGTCCTCCCCCCAAGGTGCCACTGGTCGCCCTTTGTTTACGTTTTTTTGTAATATCTTCATCTTCCTCATTATTATGCTGGATGCTAGAATGCTACCCCCCAGAACCACTTCTTAAGGAGAAATCAGTTCTGTTTATCCTTCACATGTGTCTCAGGCAGCTCTGTCAACCCAAAGAAAGTCATACATAATAGAGCAGCTTTAGCCCAGTAAGCCAGTGAGTCCCAATTCATCAGTCAAAGTTTTATGCAAGTGGCCCCCCTGAGTTGATAAATTCCCACAGTGCCTGTTGACCCAGCTGCCAAGTCCTCTTGCAGCAGGTGGTGTTTTCATGGCCACCCTGACAGTAATACAAACTGTTTAGCAGCTCCATTGACCTTTCAGCTATTAACAGGGATACAGGCTCCACGAGGGACTAGTTTTCAAACATGACAGAATTTCTTAACACTAGAGGTCAGGAACAAGTATATGCCCTATAAAAATCCATTCGGCATGGTGGATTAAAAATCTAAAAGACAAGCATTTTCCATATTTTTGCTATTATTAATCTGCATTTCCAATAACCAAAAATGGATATATACCTACCTCCCTGTTTGTATTTTATTTTTAATATACCATGTTTTATGTATAGTAAAAATCCCTTTTCTGACATCCCTAAGCTGCTACATACCTTCTGGAATTTTAAAGACTTTTTTTTACAAAAAGAATTGGGTAAGATCAAAGTCAAAACGTGTAATGAATGGATGAGTAGGCATACATAATATATGGTAATGGCCTTAGTGTGATTCGAATTTTATTCTTGCTTTAGCAAGAATTGTGTATGTATATGTACACGTACAGAGCCACTTAAATATGCTCAGGTAATACATATGATATTTCACCAAGATGACTCTATAAACTTTCCTCCCCAGATTTGTTAAGATATTGTTCACTAACAAGAAGTGTTTATGTTTACAGTGTCCTCTCCTTACCCTTGGGTGACATGTTCCAACACCCCAGTGGCTGCTTGAAACTACAGAGAATACCAAACCCTATATATATTATGTTTTTTCCAGTGTGCCCATTTATGTGGCACTGTGATTTAAAAAAATTCTTCAGGCACAATGGAAAATTAAGAATAATAATAACTAATGACAAAGAATAGCAGTATATATTTTAAAAGTCATTTAAAATGTATTAATTATTTCTAGAATCTTCCATTTAATATTTTAGGCCCACAGTTGAATTCAAGTAACTAAAACTATGGAAAGCTGTAAGAGGAAGGTCGGTATGGTGGCACGATCCTGTATTTCCTGCACTCTTGGAGGCTGAGTCAGAAAGATCAAAAGTTTAAGCCCAGCCGGGGCAATTTGGTGACCCAAAAAATAAAGTGTTGGGGATATGAAGGCTGGGGTTCAACCCTCAGTACCCAAAGAAAAA